ATGTTTTTAAAACTTTAGGTTTCAAATTTTCTCTCTTCCTCCCCACCCACCCTCATTGAAAAGGCAAGCAACTCAATATAAGTTGTACATGTGCAGTTATGCAAAACATGTCCATAGTAGACATGTTGTGAAAAACTAACTCTATTTTCCTTAATCCTATCCTGCCCTCCCATTTATTCTATTCTTTCTTTTGACCCTATCTCTCCTCAGAATTATTTACTTCTAATTAACCCCTTTCCCAATCTGCCCTCCTCTCTATCATCCCCCTGCTCTCTTGTCCCCTTTCCCCCCTATTTTCCTGTAGGGTAAGACAGATTTCCATACCCAATTGAATGTGTATGTTATTCCCTCCTTAAGCCAAATCCTATGAGAATAAGATTCACTCATTCCCTCTCACCTTCCTCTGTTTCCCCTTCCACTGTAACAGACTTTTCTGGGGTTTTTTTTGTGAGATAATTTACCCTATTCTACCTCTCCCTTTCTTCTTCTCCGAGTATAATCCTCTCTCATCCCTTAATTTTATTCTCCAGATATGACCCCTTAATCTTCAGCACACCCTGTGCCCTCTATCTACATATACATACATATAATTTTTTTCCTCCAACTATGCTAATACTGACAAAGGTCTCATGAGTTTCCATGCAGGAATGTGAACAGTTCAACCTTAATAAGTCTCTTATGATTTCTCTTTCCTGTTTACCTCTTCATGTTCCACTTGAGTCCTGTATTTGAAAGTCAAATTTTCTATTCAGCTCTGGTCTTTTTATCAGGGAATGCTTGAAAGTCCTCTATTTCACTGAATGACCATTTTTTCCCATGAAGGATTATACTCAGTTTTGCTGGGTAGGTGATTCTTGGTTGTAATCCTATCTCCTTTGCCCTCCGGAATATTATATTCCATGCCCTGCAGTCCTTTAATGTAGAAGCTGCTAAATCTTGTGTTATCCTGATTGTGTTTCCACAGTACTTGAACTGTTTCCTTCTGGCAGCTCGTAATATTTTCTCCTTGACCTGGGAACTCTGGAATTTGGCTACAATATTCCTAGGAGTTTTCCTTTGGGGATCTCTTTCAGGAGGAGATCTGTGGATTCTTTCAATTTCTATTTTGCCCTCTGGTTCTACTATATCAGGGCAGTTTTCCTTGATAATTTCTTGAAAGATGATGTGTAGGCTCTTTTTTGATCATGGCTTTCAGATAGTCCAATAATTTTTAAATTGTCTCTCCTGGATCTATTTTCCAGGTCAGTTGTTTTTCCAATGAGATATTTCACATTGTTTTCTAATTTTTCATTCTTTTGGATTTGTTCTACTGTGTCTGATTTCTCATAAAGTCACTATCTTCCAATTGCTCTATTCTAATTTTTAAGGAAGTATTTTCTTCAGTAAGCTTTTGGACTTCCTTTTCCATCTGGCCAATTTTGCTTTTTAGGGCATTTTTCTCCTCATTGGCTTTTTGGACCTCTTTTGCCATTTGGGTTAGGCTATTTTTTAAGGTGTTATTTTCTTCAGTATTTTTTTGGGTCTCCTTTAGCATCACTCTCAGTTTTTCCTCTACTTCTCTAACTTGCTTCTCAAAATCGTTTTTGAGCTCTTCCATGGCCTGGGACCAATTCATATTTTTTTGGAGGCTTTGGATGTAGGGGCTTTGACTTTGTTGTCTTCTTCTGGTTGTATATTTTGGTCTTCTTTTTCACCAAAGTAAGATAATATAGTCTGACCTCTTTTTGCGCTGCTTGCTCATGATCCCAGCCAATTACTTGAGTTTTAAACTCTTTGTTAAGGTACGAATCTGCTTCCAGTGTGGAGAATGTACTGTCCCAAGCTTTGGGGTTTGTACAGCTGTTTTCAGAGATACTTGTAGGGACCTGTAAATTTTCAGTTCTTCCAAGGTGGTATGATAAGGGGCAAGGTGTTTACTCCTTTCCTGGCCTGCGACTACAAGTACTCCTTTCTGTCCTGTAACTGTGATGAGGGGCACCACAACCACTACAAGCTCCACCAAGCCAGCGCTCCTCCTCACCCCAGCACCGCTGCCCAGAACTGTGGCCCAGATCCAAACACGGGCAAAGCAAGAGATTCCTGCCTCAGCACTGGCAAAGAGATCCCTGCAATCCCTCTCTGATCAGCCACTGGATTCCCCCTCAGTCTGTGGGCCGGAAGCTCGGGAAGCAGCTGCCCCCCCCAGGGCCACGCTCTTGGGGAATGGAGCTGAAACCCCACCTTCCTTTCTCAGGCACCGACAGAAATAGACTTTTCCCACTGACCTTCTAATTTGTCTTTGGCATTGGTGGATTGAGGAGTCTGGAAACTTCCACAGCTGCCTGACATTCAGTCCTCTGAGGCCCGCTCCAGGTTTGCTGCGGCCTGTGCACCCACACTGCGCTTACAGCCCGGCGCGATACACCTTTCTGATCAATTATCCAGGTCATCTTGGGCTGGAAATTTGTTTCACTGTCTTTTTGTGGGTTCTACTGCTTCAGAATTTGTTTAGAGCCATTTTTTATGAGTATTTGGAAGGGTTTGGAGGACAGCTCAAGCAAGTCACTGCTTTCACTCTGCCATCTTGGCTCCGCCCCCTAAAGGGTGACATCTTAAACAAATTAGAGGAGTGAGAAAGAAATTACCTGCCAAATTTATAGATAGGGGAACAGTTCATGACCAGACAAGACACAGAGAGGATCCCGGGAGACAAAATAGACAATTTTAATTACATAAAATTAAAAAGTTTCCACATAAACAGAATCAATTCAACTAAAATTAGAAGTGTAGCAGGAAATGGGAAAAAATCTTTGCAGCAAATTTCTCTAATAAATGTTCTTTTCCAAAATACATAGGGAGCTGAACCAAATTTGTAAGAACATGAGCCGTTCCCCAATTGACATATGGTCAAAGACATGAATAGTTTTCAGGAAAGAATCCAAGCTGTCAATAGCCATATGAAAACTTGCTCTAAATCACTAATACTCAGAGACTCATCAGATTGGCTACTATGACAAAAAAAAAAAAGAATATATGCTAGAGGGGATGTGGAAAAATTGGGACACTAGTGCACTGTTGGCAGAGTTGTGAACTGATCCAACCATTCTGGAGAGCAGTTTAGGACTATGCCCAAAGAGCTAGAAAACCATCTTTGACCCAGCAATGGCACTGAGATAGGTCTGTATCCCAAAGATATCAAAGTAAAAGAAGAGGATCCATATGTACTAAAATATTTAAAGCAGCTTTTTGTAGTGACAAAGATTTGCAGGGTGATGGGGCGCCCATGCACTGGGGAGTGGCTGAACAAGTTAGTGCACACAACTGTGACATGCAGGAAACAAGGACAGGATGGTTTCAGGAAGCTCTGGGAAGACTTGTATGGACTGAGGCAAAGTGAAGCAAGCAGAATCAGGACAAAGATTTATGTAATGACAGCAATATAATGAGGACCAACTGGAAAGACTTAGTATAATGGGGCAGCTAGGTGGCACAGTGGATAGAGCACCGGCCCTGGATTCAGGGGGACCTGAATTCAAATCCGGCCTCAGACACATAACACTTACCAGCTGTGTGACTCTGGGCAAGTCACTTAACTCCAATTCCAAACCAAATAAAAAAAAAAGACGTAGTATAATGAATGGGGGAGGGAGGGAGTGCACATTTAGTAAGCACTATTCTGGCTTCTCGAATGACTGGCAGGCAGTGTGCTAAGCACTTTATAATCTCAGCTGATCTTCAGGACAGCCCTGAGAGGCTGGTGGCAGAGGAGTGGCAGATGAGGAGAGGAGATTGAAATAGGGGTGGAAAGCTAAGTGACTTCTTCAGAGTCCCCACAGCTAGAAAGTAACTGAGGCAGATTGGAGTTCAGGTCCTCCTGACTCCAGGGTCAGTGCTCTCTTCCCCACGGTACCACCAGCTGCTTCTGCCCAAAGAGCAGCCACCGTTTCAGAGGCCTATGGAGAATGCAGCTGCTCATCTCTAGGGACAACGCTGATGGGCTTGGCGCACGCACACACACACCGCACATACATACGTATATGCATGCATGCATATATACATACGTACACACACACGTACACACATACACACTATACATACACACACTATACACACACATACACACATACGTACATACACACTATACATACGTACATATGTACATGCATACATGCATATGTACATACATACATACACACAGATGCATACTGGACACGGCAGGTGGGGAATTTGCTGGACTACACAGGGTGATCACAACAGGTTTTTCTTGCTTTCTTAGGGTTTGGGGGGAGGGGGGATGAAGAGCTAGGAGGGACAGAATACAATCTGAAAATAAAATTAAAAAAAAGAAAAGATCATTTGCCTGCCATCTTTCCTCCTGCACAGGGGACACCAGCCAGGCTTGAACCCTCCTGAGCTCCCCCAAACGGGGCTGCAAGGAGCCACAGCTGAGCACCTGGGGTAGGGGGATGGCGCTGAGGCTCCCACCCACACTTTACCTGCTACAGCGGGCAGGCCTCACAGCTCCCTGGGCTTGCCTCATCCCCCCGGCACGGCCAGCACCCATCCTTCATCTGCGCTAGTGCTGGGGACCTGCCCCAAGCCCAGCTCTTTCCACGTTTCTCAGGGATTCATCCTCTAATCCACATGACCATGACCCCTGCTGGGGCCACCCTGGCCCCCTGCCTCACCTACTGCCCCCCCTCCACTCCAGCTTCATCCCAATGGGGTCTCTGGGATCCCCATGGTAGTGTTGACACAGTGTCCTTCCCATCAGACTGGTGGCCCCGGCCCCAGCCCCCTCTGTGAAATATGAGCTCAGTTGTTTGACTGTAACCCCAGCACCCAACCCAAGGCCTCGCCCAGGGAGGCGCTTAATAAATGCTTTGGGGATGGAATTAGGTGGAAAGCATCCGTGGCCTCCCAAGTCTTGTGGGCTGGCTGCATCTTCCCGCCTGGAGAATACGGACTGTGGGTGGATGACACACTGCCCAGCTGGCTTCCCGGCTCCTGCCTCTACTTGCCTGGGTGGTCTCGTTGGTATACTCCAACACCAGCTCTTGGCTGAATTCCATTTTCCTGGCCCCATCTTCATCTTGAAGTATCTTCACTCCTGGCAGCATCTGGTCTGATGGCAGCTTCCGGTACGTCAGTAACTCCAGAGACAGGGAGAAGGACACCTCGATCTGGAGGGATATGGCCCCCACCTCATCGCCATGGGAGCGAGCACCCTCTCCGCCCTCCACATCCCTGCTTCCCATGGCAGGGGCTGCAGCCGTGGGTCAGCAGCCTCCCTCGTGACCTGCCTCCGGCTACACCCACAGGACGATGTCCCCGTGGAGGCCAGGCCAGAAAACACTGGCCAAGCCTTCCGGGGCTGCTGCCTGCCACGTTCTGGGCATCTAGGGAGACATGCTCCTGATGGGCTGATGGGGCCATCGTTGGGGCCACACCCACACCACTGATGGGTGCTGGGAGGCTTGTACTAGGATCCCACTTCCAAGATCGTATTTCTCCCTGGCCTCAAGGCACTGTCCCTGACAATTTCCCTCCAGCCCAAGGACCCTGTGTCTGGCAGTGACTCCTGAGTGTGCCCAGTAAGGCAAATGATCTCTCCCTGTTACAAGAACAAGCTGACCACTGCAGAATTGCCCTTGTATCACCAGGACCGTCTTGTAGCAGCAGAACTACCATGTACTGATGCCCACCGTCACACATACAATCCAGAGGTCCAGCTACAGACGTCAGCTCCCGAAGCTATCTCATCGCAGACATAACCGACCACAGACACGCCCCTTAGGAGCCCTCTCCCTGCACCCCCCATTCCCAGTAGTGAATGAGAGAGTGCTGTGTTACCGCCTGATGAGCACGCTTGGCGCACAATCCACTGCTTTTCCTATATAAGTTTTAGCATCACTCCTTTCAGGTTGCAAGCTCCCCAAGGAGCTCTGCCCACCATGGCGGGTTCCTCGAGAATCCTCGCCTGCTGTGTAGAGTAACAATCAATCTTTGCCACCTTGACTTAGAGAATGCTCGAGTCTGAATTCGTTCCAGACGACCCTGTCCTATACTCCGGTCCTTGAGGGGTCTACACCTCTCAGACCACACCACCACCACCACATCAAGCTGTTGGTCTGGCTAAGCCCCCCAGGCCATGTCCCCTGGGGAGCCCTTTGGCCTACCAGCATGTTCTGCTGAGGGTTGAGTACAAACTGATCTCCAGCCGGCTCCTCCTCTTCCTCTTCCACCTCCCTATCCAAGATTCTCCGGTTGTATTCAGGGTTGATCCCCGTCACAGAGAAAGGGGGTGCCACCAGGAGCCCGAAGCAATGGGCCATATCCGTGAAGTTGTTGACCTTCAGGCGGTGAGTGGTCACCAGCTTGGGGAGCACCTAAAGTCAGGCCAGAGTGAGCAGGGGTGATCCCTCCCCTAGGCCTCCAGCCCTGACCCTTCCTACCACTTTATGGGCAGCCTGATAGAAATCAGAGGGTGTGTGTGTGGAGGTTTTGGGGCTGTGGAAAAGACAGGGATGGGTTGGGAGCCAGGCACACCCAGTCGTCCTCTCCCTGTGTTTAGGAATGTTCTGGGCCCCGGGAGTCTCCTCTTCTGCTGAGAGGGCTTGGGACTGGCCTTCTCCTGGGGGAGGAGTCCCCACAGAGCTTGGAGGAGTGTCTGGACCTCCACCCACACTCACTTACCCCTGTGAGCATATTGGCTGGGATGAGGTCACTGGCCTGCAGGTAGAACACCATTCCACCATCATAGTCATTCTCAATGCTCAATCTGCCCCAAAGCCAAAGCAGAGTAGGGAGGGTCAGAAGACCCTCCGGCAGCCCTGGCTGGGACAGTCTGGGGGTCTGAAGCTTGGCAGGTCGGTGGACGGGAGGGATGGGGAGGGCAGGCAGGGCAGAGGAGGCCCCCCTTCCCCCCACTCACCGAGCTGGCCTCACGAGGCCCTGAAGGTCCAGTCGGAAGACCTCGGCATCGAAGTTTTGGGGGCGTTTCACCTTTCCTGGGATCTCTCGAGCAATCTGCCCCAGCCCGGAGAGGCCAAGCCACCTCAGGCCATGCTGCTTGCTGTGGCCAGGCAGGAGAAGCCTTGCCCTGCTCGTGTGCTCAAGGCAGGCCTCCCCTCAGCCTCCCAGCCCTCGCCTGCCCGACCTGTTGCAGGGCCCTACAGGTTGTCCTTGTGGCCCACTCGGACCCCAGACTCACCTTGTTGTCCAGGCTCATGAAACCCAAGGCGTAGCTTTTACACACCATCTTGCTGATGGACCCTGGCAGGAGCATGGGCGTGAAGGAGACATGGATGGAGCTGCTCCCAGCAGCTGGAATTACCTGCCACAGACGGATGAAGCTTAAGACAGCTGCCTGGTAAGGTGGTGCACAGTCACTGAATGGGGTGAGGAAAGGAGGCCCACATGGGCCGAGAAAGTAGCGGGTACCCAGGATGGCATCGTTGCCCTCAGAAAGGGCATGTACAGGGGCCCAAGCCAGCAAAGAGGAGAGCCCCGGCCTGGAGCCTTCCCACCCTGCTTTCTCTTCTGAGGAGTCTGTGAGTGAAGCCTCCCAACTGACGTCACGTCCCCCCAACATCACTGGGATGAGTCCCAGAGCTGGCAGCCCTCGGAGGGAGGGAGGACAAGGTATGGTTTGGGGTGGGGGCCCCATGGCAGGTGAGGCACGTGGAAGTGGGGCAGGGGCCCTTCAGAATCGGGCGAAGGCCTGCTGCTGGGAGCCGTGGGGAACTCACTCACCAGCTGTTTGGGAGTGATGGTATAGGGGTGGTCAGAGCGCACCCCCTCATGGGGCTGCAGGATCACGGAGATGATGTTGGGGTTCCCCTCAGCCGTGAGTGAGGAAGGCTCTTCTTCACTCCCCATCCTACTGCCGTATTGCTTACAAAACAAACCAACCCGCCAACTGTGAGGCTGGGAGCCAGGCCAAGTAGCAGAATTGGTGGCGACCCTCCCATGGCTGGAGCAGTAGTGACACTGACCACTTCCACGCAGCGAGGAGACCCGGGCCCACAGCTCTCCACTCCCTCCTGCCGCAGCCAGAGACCAGGCATGCCCTGATGGGCCAGCCAAGCTCTGGGCCTCTGAACAAGTCAGGTCCAGCCATGGTCAAGGCTCTCCGCCATCTCCCTCTCTGGCAGGCCTTGCCAGCTCCAAGGGCTCAGTGACCCCCAGCCAGGCCTCAATTGCACATCCCCCTCTCCCCTGATGACTGGACATCTGGGATGGAATGTCCTGCAGGGGTATCCAATCCACATGCCTCAGGCAAGACTTTGGCCCTAAGTCTATTGTTCCTGACCTACTCATCAAGGGCACCGGGCTCTCTCCTTCTTCTTCTCCCTCCTCCCTCCCAAGCCCCCACATTCAAGTCCTCCCCATTCCTTACACCTGTCTCCACTCACACGTTCCCAGAGCCTGCAGCAGGCTTCCAACCCTCATCCCCACTAGCCTGGAGCACCACCAGAGCTTCTACGCTGGCCCCCCGTCAGCCTCCACACAGCTCCCAAAATCACATTCCAAAAGCACAGGGCTGACCACGGCTCTCCTCCGTGGCTCCCCATTGCCTCTAGGGTTTGGCTTTTCAAAGGCCATCATCCATCATCTGGCTCCCACCTGTCTTTGCAGGATGATCCACACCAGAATTCCCCTCACAAAGAGAGCCACTTCAGCTGAACTGGCTAACTTGCTTCTCCCTTCACCTGCCTTGGCCTGGGCTTGGAAACCTCTCCCTTCTCATCTCCACCTCTGCCAATCCCTTCCTTTCCTCAATCCCAGCTCGGGGGTCCCTCTCGATGTCCCAATAACCTCTCCTCTCTACTCCTCACACTGCTGCCTCCCCCCAGTTCAGATCCTCCTCACTCCTTGCCTGGATGATCCTGGCCTTCCTGACTCAGCCTTCCCCTCCTCCCCCTGGCTGCCAAAGGTCTCTTCATCTGCAGAGCTCTGACCATCCTAGCTCCTGCCCATGGCCCCCACTGCCTCAAGGATACTCTGCCGGACAGTCAGGCTCCAGACCAGTTTTCTGAGCCCAGTGGGTCCACGGACTCTGCTTCTTGACTGGCCTCACCTCCGACCCCTTGCTGGCTCAGCCCATGTGCCCCTCCTGACTCCCTGGGCATTCCTTTATCCTCACTTTGGGCTACAGGGAGACATGTTTTGCTTCTACTTTGTCCCCAGTGGCTCAGCACACAGCCAGAGCTTTGGGATTGCCAAGCAGGCATGCCCCTGATCTTGACTGGTGTATCCCCGCCCCCGCCTCCCCGCCCCCACCGGGGGAAGAGACACACTCACAGCTTCTGATGGATTCGTGCTGCCCTGGGAGGTAGAGGACTGGCCGGAGCTGGCCACCAAGGAGGAGTCACTCATGGGCTCTTCCTTGGACTCTATCTCCACTCCAGCAGCATCCCTCAGGGGGAAGGGCGTCCCATACACCACCAAGAAGTCCAGGAGTTTGTCCTCATTCTCTTCTGGGTTATAGGTCTCCCAGTCTATCCTGACGTCTGCAGAGGGTGAGAGGAAGGGAAGAGGAGTGGGTGGCAGGACCACGGGGCGCCAGGGAGCCCAAGAGAACACCAGGAGGCTCAAGCAGGGACTGACAGACGCTGAGTAATGGGGGAGGAGGCCCAGAGCTGAGGAGGCCTTCTGGCACTGGGGACTAGTGTGGGGGACCTGCCTGCATCCCTTCCTCTTTAACAGAGCCCAGTGTAGATGTGTGGGAGCCACTATCACCCGAGGCAACATATGGAGCTTTCCCCAGGATCAATCTTGTCCCCAAACTCCCTGGGGAGATGGTAGGGAGGGAGAAATTGAAGCCTCATTCCGGGAGTGACTCGCCCTAAGCCAGGCTTATTCCCTCAGGCTTGCTCCCACCCTGTGCTCCTAGGAGTGACAAGGCCGATAGAGCTGGTCCTGAAAAAGGGGGGCCCCTTGTCATCTGGGCTCCAGATCCCACCCACTTCCCAGTCTCCTGGTGGTTCCCAGGCCATAAACCTGCTGCCTCCTGGCCCAGGGCTCCTGACATTGGCCAAGAAGGACTCTGACTGCAGGCAGAGACCTGGAGAGATGCAATGTGGTTAGCATCCCTGGGCTAGCATCTACACAGCAAAGAGCCAAAGCAAAGGCCTTCCAGGCACCACACAGGCCGGTGATTCCTTTGCCAGAGTAGTAGGTCCAAAGGGGCTCAGGAGAGACACAGACACAGAGGGATGTCTGCCAAAGACAGGCAGAGACAGCCACAGAGGAAGGAAAAGCCCTGCTATGGAGGACCCTGCAGAAAAGGTCTCTAAGGGGCAACTGGCACTTCTGGCCTCAGCATCCTAGACACCAGTTAAGGCATATGCTGAGAAAGCAGACCACGGGGGTCTCCGGGGACTGTGAGTGGGACAGATCCTGGACAGGCCATTCAAGCTTCTATTCCCTGAATGTACAATAAGGGGGGCTAGACAAGGTGATCTGGGCCTTCCAGCTCTAAAGGGTCTGAGGGTCACTCCTCCTTCCCAGGCTGGGGGACGCTGCCCATCAGTGAAGCAGGCTCTCTTTGGCAACCACCAGGCACGCCTGCGCATACGCACACGCACACACATGCTTACATGTGCCCACATACACGCACCCCAACTGACACAAACCTTGTGGGCTGCCTGTGCACTGCCCCTCCCCCCTCTGCCCGCATGCCCCTCCACCCCAAGCCCAACACCTTGCTTTATTTGATCACCGTCTATGTCTTTTCTCTTCAACTGGTCTACCAGGGTTTCCTCAAGAGCAGAGACCATGTTTTAGACATCTTGGTCTCCTCCATGGTGGCTAGCTCAGTGCCCTACACACCTAGTAGATTCTCAGTAAATGTTTATTGACTGACTGACTGAAAGTCTTACCATAAGGACTAGAGTTATTCAGGCGGAGAGTGCGGGAGACGGTGTCTCCTCCAGAGATCTGAGTGCCAAACCTGGGAAGGGAGGAGACGGCCCCTGGCTCAGCAGCTGCCCAAAGAGAAGGGGCCAGGCCTGGCAGGGGTTTGGGCAGCGGGAGCCAGGGACTCCCAGGAATCTCCAGGGGTCCCACCAGTGCCAGGTCTGGGCTCTAGACGGAAAACTACTGCTGCTCGCTCTGGCTCTCCTCCAGCGCTGATCTCTTATGCCCAAAGGGAGAAAACCAACTAGAAACTAAAGAAGCCCCTTAGAAGGAAGAAGAAAAGGCGGAGCCAAACCCCCTCCCCCTGCCCCGGGAGGGAGGAAGGAAGGAAGGCGCGGCAGGACCAGGGCAGAGCCAGAGCGCTGGACTACTGGCCGGGATCCCGCCGACAGTCAGCAGGAAGGTGAAGATCTCAGCAGGGACAGGCGTGCGCCCGGTCCGCAGGGACGCAGCCGCCTATTCTGAGCCCTGGCCTAGGTGGCCCCCCACAGGAAGGGGGCCCCTGCACAGTACCTGATAACGCGGTCCTGGGAAGGCTCATCAGCCAGGTGGCTGGTCCTAAACAGCGTGATGGGGCAGCCCGCCACGCCCATGTGGACCTCGATGATGGTTGGGGGCAGATTTTCCACCTGGGGACACAGGCCATAGCTGCTACAACAGGGCTCCCACCAGGCTCCCCTTCTTTCAGGGGTCTCCCCTCACCTCTCCTAGACCTAATTCTTTGGCTGGTGGACAGACAGTGGTACGGGTGACAGACTTGGAGTGTTAGACCCTGTCCCAAATCTTGGCACCACCAATTAATCTCCCTCTTCCTCTGGACCTGGGCATCCCCATTTACAATCCCTCCCTCCCTCTCTGCCCGGCCCCACATACCCCAGGAGCCCACTGGTCTGGACTCCCAAGCCCTTGGGGATTGCCACCCTCGGGAACCCAGCTCCGTAGCCCTTTGGCAGCTGGGCAGCAGCTAGAATCAGGGTGATGCGAGTTCAAATCCTGCCTGGGACACTCACTACCTGTGTGGCCCTGAGCCATCGACAGCTGTCTCTTTGGGCTTCACTTTTCCCTCTGTAACTCTAGCCTTCAAATAAGACCATCCCTGCAAAGTACTCTACAAACATTAAAAGGCTGCAGGTAGACTAGTTCTCATCATGATTATCCCTCTGCACTAACAGGGGCTGTCCGGCACACGGGGCAGTCAGCAATCCAGCCCAGCAGTAGAGTGACGTCTGGGCGTCAGTATCACGACAGGCATCGTGAACGCACCACCCTCTGCTGAGGGTCAAGGAGATGTCCCTCCTTTCCAGGGGCCATGAAGGGATAGGGCGCTACCTTCAATAGCGTGCCACCTGACCCTCTGAGGAGAGAAGACCGGCACATCCGCCTTTTTGTCTTTTTATTACTCCTCTTTAGTTTGACATCCCCTTCACTTCTGAAGAGGTCCCTCCCTTCTCTTCTACTCAAAGAGGGCCTTCCCTGGTGACAAAGAATTAAAAGAGAGTGGAAAAAAGTCTTTCAAAGCTCACCAACACACCCAATGAGCTGGACAGAGTAAGAGATGTTTCACACCCAGGGAAAGTTCCCAGAGTGTCTCTGGGTCACAGACCGGAATGGGAAAGAAAAGTGCAGGGGGAGGAAGGGCCCGGCAGTGTCTGAAGGGGAGGAGGGACGGGGCCACACCTACAGGTCAGGAAGATCACTTTGGTAGGTGTGCAAGAGGGTCTGGAGCGGGAAGAGGCTCAGGGCAGTCAGAGCAGCCAGCAGGCAAGAGTCTGGGTGTGACATGACTGCACGTCTGCAAAGACGGGAGGGGGGTCCGTGTTCTCACCTTCCCTTCTCTCTAGGTTTTCACGACTTCTGTGTGTGTGTGTGTGTGTGTGTGTGTGTGTGTGTGTGTGTGTATTTGTCTGTCTCTCTCCTCCTCCTCCTCTTTCCTCCTCTCTCCTCTCCTCTCTCTCCCCTCCTCTGTGTGTGTGTCTCTCCTCCTCCTATTTCCTCCTCTCTCCCTCTCCTCTCCTCTCCTCTCTCTCTCTCTCTCTCTCTCTCTCTCTCTCTCTCTCTCTCTCCTCCTCTCTGTCGTTCTGTCTCTCTCCTCCTCCTCCTCTTTCCTCCTCTCTCTCCTCCTCCTCCTCTTTCTCTCCCCCCTTCTCTTTCTCCTCCTCTCTGTCGTTCTGTCTCTCTCCTCCTCCTTTCCTCCTCTCTGCCCCCTTTCTCTCTCTCTCCTCCTCTGTTGTTCTGTCTCTCTCCTCCTTTCCTCCTCTCTCTCCCCCCTTTCTCTCTCTCTCCTCCTTTCTGTCGTTCTGTCTCTCTTCCTTCTCCTCCTCTTTCCTTCTCTATCTCCCCCCTTTCTCTTTCTCTCCTCCTCTCTGTTGTTCTGTCTCTCTCCCCCTTTCTCTCTCTCCTCCTTTCTGTCGTTCTGTCTCTCTTCCTTCTCTCTCTCCCCCCTTTCTCTCTCTCTCCTCCTGTCGTTCTCTCTTCCTTCTCCTCCTCTTTCCTTCTCTATCTCCCCCTTTCTCTCTCCTCCTCTCTGTCGTTCTGTCTCTCTCCTCTCTCTCCTCCTTCTCCTCTTTCCTCCTCTCTCTCTCTCCCCCTTTCTCTCTCTCTCTCCTCTCTGTCGTTCTGTCTCTCTTCCTTCTCCTCCTCTTTCCTCCTCTCTCTCCCCCCTTCTCTCTCTCCTCCTCCTCTCTCTCTCTCTCCTCTCTTCTTCTCTTCCCTCCTCTTTCTTCTCTTCTCTTCTCTCTCCTTCTCCTCTTTCCTTCTCTCTCTTCCTTCTCCTCTTTCCTCCTTTCTCTCTCTCCTTCTCTCCTCTTTCCTCCTCTCTCTCCCCCCTTCTCATTCTCCTCTCTGTCGTTCTGTGTCTTTCTTCCTTCTCCTCCTCTCTGTCCTTCTGTCTCTCTTCCTTCTCCTCCTCTTTCTTTCTCTATCTTCCCCCTTTCTCTCTCTCTCCTCCTCTCTGTTGTTCTGTCTCCTCCTCCTTTCCTCCTCTCTCTCTCCCCCTTTCTCTCTCTCCTCCTCTGTCGTTCTCTCTCCTCCTCCTCCTCTCTCCTCTCTCTTTCCTCCTCTCTGTCGTTGTCTCTCTCCCTCCTCCTTTCCTCCTCTCTCTCTCCCCCCTCTCTCTCTCCTCCTCTGTCGTTCTGTCTCTCTTCCTTCTCCTCCTCTCTCTGCCCCTTTCTCTCTCTCCTCCTCCTCTCTGTCGTTCTATCTCTCTCTTCCTCTCCTCTTTCCTTCTCTATCTCCCCCCTTTCTCTCTCTCCTCCTCCTCCTCTTTCCTCCTCTCTCTCTCTGCCCCCTTTCTCTCTCTCTCCTCCTCTCTGTCGTTCTGTCTCTCTTCCTTCTCCTCCTCTTTCCTTCTCTATCTCCCCCCTTTCTCTCTCTCCTCCTCTCTGTCGTTCTCTCTCCTCCTCCTCCTCTCTCTCTCTCCTCCTTTCTGTCGTTCTGTCTCTCTCTTCCTTCTCCTCTTTCCTTCTCTCTCTCTCTCCCCCCTTTCTCTCTCCTCCTCTCTGTCCTTCTGTGTCTGTCTCTGGGTCTCTTTCCTGGTTCTCCTCCCTCTCTGACCCCTCCTCCTCTGTCTCTTTTGCTGGATCCTCCTCCAATTGTGCCCTGTCACCGTGGGTGTCCCTTGGGGCTCTGTCCTAGGGTCTCCTCTTCTACCTCTCCAGGGATCTCACCAGCTCCCCTGGACTTATTTTTCTCCATGCAGATGACTTTCAGATCTACGTGTCTAGCCCTTAACTCTTTCCTGACCTCCAGTCTCACATCTCCAACCACCTCACAGACATCTTGAAGTGGATGTCCAGTAGACGTCTTACACTCACTGTGTCCAAAACAGACCTCGCTGTCTTTTCCCTGGAACCCTCCCTCATCCCCCAGTTTCCCTTTACTGTCCAGAGCCTTAGCATCCTCCCAGCCCTGTCAGGCTCACAAGCTAGGAGTCATCCCTGGCTCCTCACTCCCCCTCCCTGCTCCCCCCACCTCCTAACCAATCTTTCACCAAATCCAGTCATTTCTGCCTTCACAGCATCTCTTTCCCAGCACGCCTCTGCGTCTCCTCTGACAGCCACCTCCTTAGGGCAGGGCCCCGTCACGTCCCACCCAGACTCTTGCCTGCTGGCTGCTCTGACTGCCCTGAGCCTCTTCCCGCTCCAGACCCTCCCGTACACGGGTATGACCTGTCAGTGTGAACCAGTCCCTCCTCCCCTTCCAGCTGCTCCCTCCAAGCTCCAGAATTGGACACAACCCGGGCCCTTCCTCTCTCTGCACTCTTCTTTCCCATTCTGGTCTGTGACCCAGAGACGTGCTGGGGACCTTCTCTGGCTGCCCCCCTGCCAACAACACTCTCGCTCCTCTTTCTGCCCCCTGGCTCCCCTGGTTTCCTTCAAGGTGTAGGCAAAGCCCCACCTTCTAGAAGAGTCGTTCTTAGCTCAGGTCCTCCTTGGCTCAGTGCCCGAGACTCTACTTCATCCCCAACGTGCTGATTTGTGCCTGGTGTTTGTGTGCCATCCCTTCTGCTGGGCTGTGAGCTCCTTGCAGGCGTCCCTGCTCGCACTCAGGGCCCGCCCAGCAGGTGCCTCTTACCAAATGGCCACTTGCCCCGAGGAGGAGCCTGGCCTTCCCGCTTCGTTTCTGTGGTCCTCTCCATTCTGGGCTCTGCTTATGGCCTCGGCCTCAGTGCCCCCGAGTCTCTGCACTCACTACAGAACAGTAATTGAACCATTCCCCAGTGGATGGACAACGAGTTTGTGTCTAGCTCTTTGCTACCAAAAATGGCCGCTCTGACTATTTTAGGGACTGGATGGAGACTCGGGACAGACGTCTGAATACCTGCGGACACAAAATGATGCTGCAGACCCGGCAAGGAGTGAGGGTCTCCGAGTCACGGGGGAGAGTGCAGCCGGGGCTACCTTGCCTTATGGGATTCTCAGTCATCTCATCTTGGAACGCTCAAATGACCACAAGCAAAGGGATCCCCCAGGAAGGTTGTTTCAGTCCCTCCCCGCCCCCAGCCCCCTGCTCCAGCATCCCTTTCAGAAGATGAGGAGGGAGGGGAATTATCGGAAGAACCCGACAAGAGCCTCGGCCAGACCAAGTCAGGGCATACAGTGAGAGCTGGTGATTTCATCACACCTACTTCTCTGGGATTGCTTCTTTATAAAGGTAATCAGAAGAGGTCAAGTGAAAGATGGGGAAGCTAACAGGAGGAAGTGGTGTGCTGCTGGTCAGTCGTTTTTCAGCCATCTACGATACCGAGGTATTCTTAGCAAAGTGCTGGATTGGTTTACTATATCTTTCTCCAGCTCATTTTACAGATGAGGAAACTGAGCCAAACAGGGTTAAGTGACTTGCCCAGGTCACACAGCCAGTGAGTGTCTGAGGCCGGATTCGAACTCAACATGATGAGGCTTTCTGACATCAGGCCCAACAGTATCTACTGCATGCACACCAGCCTGGAACCTGATCAGGAAATCCAAGGAAAAAATCACAGGGAATCATTTTTCCAGCCCAAGACAGCACAGAGGGACAGATAAAGAGATCGGGGGATCAGGTCCAGCCAGGAGCACGCCAGCTTCCAGGCACACAAAGACTCCAAGACAGGAAGAGAGGGGGTAGAAAGAGATCACTGCCCTGGAGCGTTGGTGTGGCACCTGGTACCACGCGGCAGTGCACTACCCAGCTCTGGGTCACGTGCCCAGGTGGACTGAGGAAGGGCCAGTGCCCAAGAGTGAGAGATGGAGAGGAATGGGGAGGGGTCCCAGCAAGAATGACTCAGAAGCAAACAGCAGCCAGTCTGGCACTGAGCCTGGGAGCAGAGCCTCCAGCTCAGGCTGAAGCCTGCCGCGGAATGACCTAAGAGGAGGTTGCCCATTCTATCACTGAAGTGGGCTGAGTTCAGCAGCGTCTGCTCAAACTTCCCACCAGGGACAAGCTGACTGATGAACTCTTGCTTGGACCCAAAGTCGGGTCAGGAACTTGCAGAATTTGGATGAAGAGGGCAGGGAACTTCACCCTGGATGTTATCATTTGGGAGCACTGACAGCCTGGCCCATCTCTGACAGCGCCTTTCCTCCCATCCCCCCTGGGCTCCTCACCTGGCCATGTCCTTGGCCTGTCTGTGACAGAGCCTTTCCTCCCTCGGCTCCTCACCTGGCCACGTCCCTGGCTTATCTGTGACAGCACCTTTCCTCCCTCAGCTCCTCACCTGGCCATGTCCCTGGCCTGTCTGTGACAGTGCCTTTCCTCCCTCGGTTTCTCACCTGGCCACATCCCTTGCCCATCTCTGACAGCACCTTTCCTCTCATCCCCCCTGGGCTCCTTACCTGGCCACGTCTCTGGCCCGTCTATGACAGTGCTTTTCCTCCCTGGGTTCCTCACCTGGCCATGTCCCTGGCCCTTCTGTGACAGCACCTTTCCTCCCATCCCCCCTGGGCTCCTCACTGGCTCTGTCTTGCCCTGCTCACGCCCACATGGGCCAGGCCAGGCCCCTACCTTGCAGATGAGCTGATCATGGTAATCTCCCCACATGTTGCTACACGCTGTGATGTCAATGGTCAGCTTCTGGAAGGCATCCAATGTCCCTTGGGAAACGTGAGGAAAGAAAGCGGCTCCTTTGCCTTTCGATAAGAGAGTTTCTATGGAGTCTGGGAACAGACCAGTGAGAAGGGAAGATTCAGCCTTGTGTTCCCAAGAGGGACCTCAGATCCACAGCAGCTGCCCAGGTCAAGCTCCACCCTTTACAGATGAAGGGCCCTTCCTTAGGGGATGTCATTGCTGTCCCAGCCACCAGCATTTCCACAGGCCTCGTTCAGGCCGGACTCTAGGGCCCTGCAGACAACCGCCATATTTTCTTGTGGCAGAAGCCACCTTAGCCCTCGAGTCAGACTGCAGCCGGGATTTGGGAGCATCCTGACTCGCAATCGGATCGTCTTTGACTTAGTCTGCTGCCCTCTGTCTAATTCCCTCGTGCCCATCCTGCTAAAGGAGCCAGATTCTAGAGAAGGTCACTGAAGCCGACGCTCAGGGCTCACTGCCCTGCTGCTGTGTGGTCAGTGGGAACTGCGCTGGGCGCGTGAGAAGCCGTCTGTCCTGCACCTGTTTCCTGTGCAGGCTCACTGGCCCTGGCTGGTCAGAACTCAGGCAGCGCTGGCTTCACCGGCACGCTGATTCCTGACTAGGGATGGGCGCAGAGCCGACTCGCCACAGAAAAACGATACTATTAGCAGAAGGCACCATATTCCCGCTCAAGGGAGCAAGGAAACAGGCATTTATTAAGCGCATACTCGGTGCCAGACGCTGTGCTAGAAGCTTTACTCATATCGTCTCCCTTGATCCTCGTGACAACCTTGCAAGGTAGGTGCTGTTACTGGAGGCAAACAGGGTTAAGTGACTTGCCCAGGGTCACACAGTTAGACAGTATCTGAGGCCACATTTGAACTCAGGTCTTCCTGACTCCAGACCCAGGGCTTTGTCTACTGCATCACTCAGCTGCCCCTCGCAGCCTAATCAGACATCATTGGAATGGAAATTTAAAAAAAAAAATCTCTGTGATTGTCTTTTGTTGCTTCATCTCTTACAATGGAATTCTTCAGAACAGAACTGAAGAAAACAGAATGAAAATAATTCTTAGCAGGCAGCTGGTAGTGCTGGGGAGAGAGCTCTGGGGCTGGGGTCAGGAAGACCTGAGTTCAAATCCAGCCTCAGGCACTTACTGGCTGCATGACCCCGGGCAGGTCTGCCTCAATTTCCTTGTCTGTAATACGGAGATAACGATCGAACGAGATATTTGGCCTACTTTAAAGCACTACATAAATGTTATTATTTTTGTATTAACAGAAATAAAACTCCCAAGTGCCTTGAGGTTTGCAAAGTGCTTTCCTTCCACACAAGAGTCTTGTGAGGGAGGGAGCGTAAATACCATCAGCACCGTTTTATAGGTGAGGAAACTAAGGCTGTGAGAAGTGAAGGCAGCTGCCTGAGTGATGCTGGGAAGTCAGCCTCTCTTTTTTAAAAATTATCCCTCCCCCAGCCTCCCCTTTCTGGACCCGGGGCACTTGGGAGCTGCCCCTAGGTTCCCCTGCCAGCCGGGGCTTGTTCATGGCCCTTCTGAAGGAGCAGGTGTCAGCACAACTCTTCCCTCGGGCGCAGGCCCACCCTTCCCCCCAACTCCACCAGGAGGCCAGAAAGATGCTGGATTCCTGATGTCGCAGGGAATCGGAAGGAGCAAAGCTCTACGGCCCGCCTGTGCTCTCTTAGACAAGAGACAAATGGCCCTGACGTGAACTAGGGGCTCAGAACACGGCCTGGGGCAGCTGGCTTACTGCCCTGGCTGCTCCCCTCCCCAGTGTGCCCTTCGGCGGGGGTGGCCCTCCCCAGAGACAGGTTGCTGTCCGTCAGGACTATCACTCATACCTAGAAGGTCCCTCCTGGCCAAGTGCTTTGCAATCCTCACTGAATGTCTCATGGCAGGTGGTACGTCAGGGCTTAAAAAGGAGCGGAAAGGAAGGGTGGTCAAGCCAGCTGAGAGCATCCATTGTCCCATCCCGTGCCCAGAGGAGGACGGCCCAGGACGATTGGGAGGGCTGGCCCTCCCTTCCCTTATACGTCCATGCTCCTAGGGACCGGAGCTCCCACCTCCCTCCCGGGGGTCTCTGCCTAAAGAAGCTCCCAGAATGGGGTGAGAGCCCTTCTCCCTCTCTGGGCCCCTCTTTGTGGTCGGGCTGTGGTGCTTGGCTCAGACGGCCTTGGACAGGCCAGTTTCCTTGGCCTGCTTTCCAAGCCCATTCCACTGAGGCCCTTTGCATGGGTTTCTAAACATTAATTAACCGGGCTCTGCACCAGGCTCCCGGTCCCTGATCCCCGGGCCCACAGACCACCACACGTTTCACCCTTGTCCCACAAGTGCATGGAATGAGGGACCTGACCACCTGTATGGCTCCCCTGCCAGCACGTGGGGCCACTCTGCAGATCTCCTCCCCACCACCCAGGGCCTTCTCAGCCCAAGGACAGCTTGTGATCAAGAGCCATTTTAGAGGCTAAGGGGGTGCATCCAGCCTGCTCCACCTGAAGGCCATCAAACTGTCACCAGGGATTGCTACAAAGCCCAAGAAAACATCCTGGAACAAAATGCTTCCTCTTCCTTCTCAAGACTCACACAACTTTGGATTCAACCCAATGAGTGTCGAGGAGCGCCACGGCCCCTGTGAACACTAGGGAAGTTGGGGAGGCATGATTCAACACGGAAAAGCAGAGGAAGACTTACAGCCTCGGCTTTTTGTCCCAGATTTCTTCAGTGACCCCAAAATAATCAAATTCCAGAGAAAAGGATGCTCTTATTGCGGAATTGTTGGTCAGAACCAGCTGCCGCTCCAGCAGACATCTCAACGGAACTTTGGAGCCGAAGTCCAAGCACAGATCCTGAGGGCTGCTCACTGAAAAGTCCTGGTCCTCACTGAAAAGAGCAAGACCATCCCATGGGCCATCCAATGGACCGTCCCATCTCCTCGGCCCGGAGAGGTGGAGGCATCGCAGGATCCTGAACCCAAGAGCCCCAGAAATAGCAGCAGCCCCCCTCAGGCCCCCGGCCATCGTGCAGGGGCGTAATCTCCGTGCCGATACAAACTGGCAATGACCACTTCAGGTACGGCAGCTCCCACCCCCTCAGCTGCCACAGCTACTGAAGACCCAGAAAAAGAGCTCTCAACACCAGGGGCCTCAGCACGGTCAAATGGTTTCACATCAGAAATGGATCGGATGTGTTTTGCATGTCTTCACGTGTATAACTGATATCAAAAGGTGGAGGAGAGGCAGGAGAGAGCGAGGTTTTGGAACTCAGAATTTTTAAAAAACCTGAAATGTAACTGGCAGGCCCAGATGGATTTACAAGTGAGTTCTACCAAACATTTAAAGATCAACTAATTCCAATATTAAATAAATTATTTGGAATAATAGGCAAAGAGGCAGTCCTACCAAACTCCTAAACCACGAAGAGCAAAAACAAGGAAAATTACAGACCAATTTCACTAACGGATATTGATGCAAAAATCCTAAATAAAATAAAATACTGGCTAGGAGACTACACCAATATATCACCAAGCTTATACCTTGTGGCCAAATGAGGTTTATACCAGGGGTGCAGGGTTGGTTCAATATAAGGAAAACTATTAACATAATTGATTGAATCAATAGGAAAAGCAATAACAATCATGTGATTATTTCAACAGATGAAGAAAAAGCTTTTGACAAAACACAACATTCCTATCAAAAACGCTTGAAAGCAGAGGCATGAATGGATTTTTCCTTAAAATGATAAGAAGAATCCACTTAAAACCATCAGCAAGTAGCATCTGTAAGGGGGATAAGCTAGAAGCCTTCCCAATGAGATCAGGAGTGAAACAAAGATGCCCACAAAGAAATCCACACTATTATTCTGTATTGTCCCACAGATGCTTGTAATAGCAGTAAGAGAAGAAAAAGAAATGGAAGGAATCAGAATGGGCAATGAGCTAATACAGCTATCTCTTTTTGCAGACAATATGATGATATATTTGGAAAATCCTAGAGATTCAAGTAAGAAATTAGTCGAAACAATAATTTAGCTAAGCAGCAGAATATAAAATAAATCCACATAAATCACTGGCATTTCTATATGTCACCAACAAAGCCCTGCAAGAAGAGATAGTAAGAGATATTTCATTTAAAATAACTGCATAACTCCCAAGACAAACCCAGGAACTATATGAACATAATTATAAAACTCTTTTTATACAAATAAAATTAGATTTAAATAACTGGAGAAATAGTAATTGCTCATGAGTAGGTAGAGCTAATATGATAAAAATGACAATTTCACCTAAACTAATCTACTTATTCAGTGCAATCCTAATTAAACAACCAAAATCATTTAAAAAAATTTTTTATATTTATTTTAGAAAAAATAATAACAAAATTCATTCAGAAGAACAAAAGGTCAAATATACCAAAGGAATTAATGAAAAAAAATGTAAAGGAAGGAGGTCTTGTAGTGCCAGATCTTAAATTGTATTATAAGGTAGTAATTATCAAACTATCTGGTACTGGTTAAAAAATAGAAAGGAGAATCAGCGGAACAGACTAAGTATACAATACATAGTAGTAAATGATTATAGTGAACTTGTGTTTTGTAAATGTAAAGATCTAAGCTTTTTGGATAAGAACTTACTATTTGGTAAAAAAAAATTGCTGGGAAAACTGAAAGGCAGTCTGGCAGAGACTAGGTATAGACCAATATCTTAAACCATTTACCAAGATAAGGTAAAAATGGATACATGGCCTACACATGAAGGGGGATATCATAAGTAAATTAGAAGAGCGTAGAACACATTCCCTATCTGACTTATGGATAGAAGAAGAATTTATGAATAAACAAGAGCAGAGAACATTGTGGGGTACGATTCTGATTACATTAAATTAAAAAGGTTTTGTACAAATAAAACCAATGTAGCCAAGATTAGAAGGAAAGCAGAAAACTGGGGAAAATCTTTTATAGACAATTTCTTGGATAAAGGCCTCATATCTCAACTATACAGAAAACTGACTCAAATTTATAAGAATATGAACCATTCCCTAACTGATAAATGGTAAAAAGATATAAACAGATAATTTTTCGAAGAAGAAACCAAGGCTGTATATAGTCATATGAAAGAATACTGTTAATCATTATTGATTAGAGAAATGCAAATTAAAACAACCTCTGAGGTACCATCTCATACCTATCAGATTGGCTAAAATGATAGAAGGGGAAAATGACAAATGTTGGAGGGTCTGTGGAAAAACTGGGATACTAATATACTGTTGGTGGAATTGGGAACTGATCCAACCATTCTGGAGAGCAATCTGGAATTATGTCCCCCAAATTATAAAACTGTGCATACCCTTTGACCCAGCAATGCCACCATCAGGTCTGTTCCCCAAGGTGATCAAGGAGAAGGAAAAGAACCTGTATGTTCTAAACTATTTACAACAGGTCTCTTTGTGGTGGCAAAGAACTGGATGTTGAGGGGATGCCTGTCAACTGGGGAATGACTGAACCAAGCAATATGTGATTGTGACGGAACACTACTGTGCTGTAAGAAACGATGAGCAGGTTGGTTTTAGAAAAACATGGAAAGACTTGCACGAAATAATGAAGAGTGAAATGAGCAGAACCAAGAGAACGTTGTACACTGTAACAGCAATATTGTTTGAAGAGTAACTGTGAATGATTGAGATATTCTGAGTAATATCAACATTCAAATCAGCGATGAAGGAATATGTTCTCCGCCTCCAGAGAAAGAATTGATACGTGGAAGTATAGTAAGGCTCCCCATATGTCTCTGCATCAAATGTTGGCCTTCTCTAATGTGGGGCTGGGAAGGAGGGAGATAACTCAGAATTCAAAATGTAACCAAAAAAAATATAAAAAATATAAATAAAAAAGATGTCCTCAGAGGAAGGGAAGAAAGCAAAACGTGCAGCATGACAGTAAATGTGATATTAACTTGAAGGTGAAATTAAAACTTAAAAAAAAAGAAATGTAACTGGGAAACAAATAATGAAACAAACAAAAACATACTGGAAAAAGAAAAGACGCAGATCTGCGTTGCTGCTGAGGGCCCCGGGTCCTCTCTGTCCGACAGCTGAGCCGCCCTCCAGCTGGTGGTTCTCCCACCAGCCCAGGAAGGAGCGCAGCCCACTTTGTATCTCACCCCTTTATTTCCCAATCTCTTCCAGTCTGGCTTCTGATCTATCCTCATCCTCCTTGACCTCTCTGACACTGACTCCCTCGCTCCTTCTGGCTCCCCTCCTCTCTTCCTCAGTCTCCCCTTCCACCCTAAGCGTGGGTGTTGGGCCCTCTTCTACACTCATCAGCATCCATGGCTCAATGGTCATCTCCATGTAGATGACATCCAAATCTATCTCTTCAATCCTTGTCTCTCTCTGACACCCGTCCCACATGGTGAATTATCTGCTAGGAATCACCTGATGTCCCCCTGGCAGCTCGAGCTCGGAGTGCCCAAAACAGGACCCATTAGTATGCCCCATAAGCCTGCCTTGCTTCCAAATTGCTCAGTTTCTATGGAGGGCACCGCCATCTTCCCAATAACCCAGGACTCGCCCAAGTTCCTTCAGCTATTAAACCACAAGGTTAGGCAAGGGCTGGCCATCCCCTCAGAGGCCTGGCTTACCTGCTTTGGCCATCGGCCCGGGGTATTGAGAAGGTCACATCCAGCCCTTTGGGCTTCCCTGAAATGCCCAGAACAAGAGATTTTTTCATCCCTTCTATTTGACACAGGAGGACAAGGTCTGTCAGCTCATCCTAAAAGCAAAACAACCTTGTTGTTAACCAAGCCAAGACCCAGAACCAGCTTGGGAAATGTGTGAGAGGTCACTAGAAAAAGAGAACTGCCCTGCTTCTTGGGTCAATGATTGCTGGACCTACTTGGACAGTCCATTTCTAAGGACGTCCGTATTTTGAATTTCACAACGTCCCCTTTGCCTTCTTCTCAAGATGCCACCATCCCTGGAGGAACTCTCTTTTTGCTGACTGGATAGAGCAGGTCAGAGCCAAACTACTCAGCATGAGCATTCAGGCCGCCAGTGACGGGTGGAGTTAGAATGACGGGGAGCCACGAGGCCCTGGACACTGATAGAGGGAAGACTCCTGGGGTGGGGAGAGGGCCAACAGCTTCGGGTCCTCACTCCCAGTTCTCAGACACACAAAATACTTGCAGATGTAAACATAAAACCTATGAAAGTAAGTTTTCCTTTGTAGGATCCACAGGTTTAGAAAATTTTAAGCCCTATTATGATGGGGAAACGAGAATCCTTTGACACAGAAGACTTAGAGACTTCTCACCCTCTGGCATCAAAATGTGTATTTTGATTTTTGGAAAAAAAATAAAACCAACCCTATTCTAACCCAATTACAAAACTTGACCTGAAATGGGGTAAGTGATGTTGGCAGGTCCCAGAGCTCACGAGTGAGAGAGCGAGCAGGGCATTCTGCAGCACTCCAGCGTGGACACTGAGGCCAGAATGCCTGCTGGGGCCCTCACCCAGGGCCTCCTCGAAGGCCCAGAAGTGAGGCCCCGGCCAGGTCAGAGCCCCCTCCCCACCAGAGACATCACGAGACAACGGTTCTGTTGCTGCCCTTACCATAGTGAAGGCTGTAAGCTCCAGGTAGACCTGCTTTTCCTCATTGGGGCCCAGGAGGCCTTTTCTGGGGCAGATGTCCACTAGGCAGAGGCCAGAATGAGTCCCCAGAAGCTGTCAATACAGGGAAATTCTCTTTTAAGCTATTCAGAAACGTCCAAATTAACCTCAGAGATTCCAAAGGCTCAGCCAATCCCTCCTTGGCCAAAGGAAGGCACAGCACCCACAAGGCCATGCCATGATGCCCCAGAGGCTTGGTGGGTCTGGGGCACATGCCAACAGTCTTGACCTCACCTCCCTCCAGGAGACCTTCTTCTCCTTCTATGCCAAAAGGGAACCATTAAGGCAGGGTTACTGGGCACTGGAATACCTCTATTCCTAGCTCTCAGACAGAACCACCCCAGTAGAAGTGGGGATCTTAGAAGAAGTTATCTGGGTGAACTGGAATGACACTGCCTCAGATGCCCACAAGACCAGGTCTATCATAGAGCCCCAGGACTGGGGGTCAGGAAGACCTGAGTTCAAATCCAGCCTCAGACACTAACTGGCTGTGTGATCCTGGGCAAGTCACTTCACCTCTGTTTACCTCAGCTTCCTCATCTATAAATGGGAGGGAGGTAATCATAGCACCTATTGCCTAGGGTGACTGTGAGGACCCAATGAAATCATATTTATAAAGCAATATATATTAAATCACTAGCTATTATTAGCTCAAAGATGCTGCAGAGGTGAAACTGACAGGCACTGGCACCATATTGGATTTGGGGTGTGAGAGAGAGGAGTCCAGAATGACCCCTATGTTGGCAGCCTGGGGGGTGGGGAGGATGGGAGGGCCCTCTCAGTAACAGGAAAGGTGGGGGGGAAAGAAAACAAAGTCCATTTTGGACACGTTGGGTTGAGGTTGTCTACCAGAACTCCCCTTTGGGATGTCTGAAAGGCCATGGGCCCTGCCTCGCTGCCTACTGTGAGCACTCCCCATGAGCTTTGGAGGTAAAATGTAAAATCTATAAAATGAGGGACTGGGCTCACTGACGGTCTCTGAGCATCTCACCATCCTGTGGCCTTTGTGCTGTGCTCACCAGAACAAGCTCTGATTGTGGGTAAATCACTCTGCAAACCACCTAGTGCCCTAGACACATGGGTGCCGTTCTTCTTCCTGCCTCCACCTTGCCCAGGCCATCCAGGGCATTCCCCCCAAGCCTGTATGGAAGAGGCGTCTCTTACCTTTCCCCACAGGAACTTGGTGGGCAGGAGTGTCCCGTTAAAGAGCGTGACGGTGGCCTCAGTGGGAATGCCAAAGTACATGTCGCTGAGCACAAGCTGGCTGGACATCAGGTAGACATAAGGCCTCTGCACTTCACCATAGACAGGCAGGTAGCTGGAGGCAAAGGGGGCACGGGGTCAGGCATTGTTGGCTGACCCTTCCCTAGGTCAGCCTCCAGGGCCCGGGGCTGGGGCCTCCCCAAAATCCTTCCCCAATTCTGTTCAATGTATATGCCTTCCTCCTTCCCTCCCACTAAGCTTGTTACTCAGAAAACACTCAGCACCAGTGACACACCATCCCATATCTCTGATGACTTTCCCAGGACAGTCAGGCCCAGGTCAAACTCCAGGCTTCATCCGTGAGGCCTCTTCTGAGCCCAGGGACCTGCCTCCCACAAGCTTCTCTGCACTGGCAACACTGCCAGTACCAGACAGCTGCCTTCCTCCAGCATTCTCTTAGGAGTGTCCTTTGAGGCCCGAGGGAGCTCAGCACACCCTGGGCACCCGGGAGGCCTCAGTCCCAGGGGCTGGCACCAGAGCAGCACCTCGAGCCGCTCCCCCAAAGGCCAGCAAGGCATGAAGTGCCTCTGGTGTTCATGATTCCTTGGGAGCTGTGCTGGTCAAAAGCAAACCACACCCAAGCATTTGGGACCATTCTCCCAAAGGGGCCACAATCCCCCTAAGGAATCTCCTCCTATAGTAACGACAATTCTGAATCGAGATGCCTAAGAGACATGTGGAGAAAGATGTACAAAGTGCAGCTGGAGATGTTCAGCTAATGCTTGGGAGGCTGACGAGGGCTCTAACAGATCTGGAAGTCACAGGCATAAAGATGGTCTTTGAGTTCATGGGAGCTGATGGGAGGATGTGGAGGACAAGAGAAGGAGGCAGAGACAGAGAGACAGAAGGCAGGAAGGATGGAGAGAAATGAGGGAAAGGAAGGTGGGAAAAAGATAAGACAGAAATGGGGGAGGGGAGAGGAGAAGGAAGAGAAAGGCAGAGAGACACAGAAAGAGGAAGAGAAGGAGGAGAGGAAGGTGGGCAGAGACAGGGACAGGGAGAGACAGAGAGAGGAGGAGGAGAGAGAGAGAGATCACATACATGTGGAGAGAGGAGAGGCTCAGGACAGAGCCCTGGGGGGCACCTACAGTCAGGGAGAAAGAGAACCTGACCAGAGCAATGCCCTAAAAACCCAGGTAGGAGACAGGGTCCTGAGGCAAGGGGTGGTCAGCAGAGTCAACAGTTACAGAGAGATCAAGAGGAACGAGGAGGGAGAAAGAGCATTTGTCAGGCTTAACACTGAAGAGATCACTGAAGTAAATAAGAGGAAGAGATGTGTAACTCACCCTACAGAATAGCAGGGGAGTGTTTGATTAAACCCAAAAAGTTTGATAAACTACTGCAGCAAAGACTCACTCCTGGGCAAAAGCCTCTGGGAAAAACAGAAAACATCCAGCAGAAATCAGGTTTACATCAACATCTCCCACCATACATCAAGAGAAGCTACAAATGGATCTGTGACTTAGACATGAATGGTTACATCTTAGCCAGTGGATGCTTCATGACCAAAAGGGATAGAGAGGATTTCAGAAAAAAAAAAGCAATTTCAATTGAATTCAACAGAATTTCAAAGTTTTTGCACAAATAAAATCAATGCAGCTAAAATTAGAAAGGAAATAGTTAACTGGGGAAAATATCCGAAGCAAGTTTCTTTGAGAAAGGTCTCATTTCTAAGATGTATAATTGGTCTAAATCAATAAGAATAAGAACCATTCCCTAACTGATAAGTGGTCAAAGGATATGAACAGGAAGTTTCCAAAGGAAGAAATCTAAGCTATCAACAGTCACACGTGAAAACATACTCCAAATCACTAATAATTAGAGGAATGTAACTTAAGATAGCTCTGAGGTCATACGTCATCCCCATAAGATTAGAAAAGATGACAAAAAAGGGAAAATAACAAATGTTGGAGGGGCTGCAGGGAAAGAGGCACACGAACGCTCCCTTGGTAGAGCACTGAATGGCTCAGGCATTCTGGAAATTCACTCCACTCTGCACACCCTTACCAGCGACATACTGCTATGCCTACATACCCCAGGAGAGCAAAGAAAAAGGAAAAGGACTGCTGTGCACAAAAGTATTCGCAGCTGTTTTTACAGTGGCAAAGAAGTGGGTAGTGACAAGTTGTTTATTAATTATTAAATTATTAAACATTAAATATTAAAATAACTAATTATTGAATATGAATTATTAAAAGGCTGGACATTCACATATAATTTGTTCAGCTGTAAGAAATGCTGAAAGGGATGATTTCAATAAATCTAAGAAGACTTTCATCAGCTGATGCAAAGTGAAGTGCACAGAACTGGAAGAATAGTTTGTATAGTGACTTCAATATTGTAAAGAAACTCAGCTTTGCAGACTTCAGAGTACTCAGTGACCAACCACGACTCCAGAGGACCTGTGATAAAGCACGCTGCGCCCTCCAGAGAGGGGACTGCCTCCAGAGTGGAGGGAAACACACACTTCTAAATAAGGCTGGAGAACTTATTTTTCCTGACTACGTATATGTGTTTCATAAGTTCTGTTTTTCTTTCTTTTTTTCTGATTGGGGACAGGAGTTGGAAGGGAGAGGTAAAGAGAAGAAAGAAGGATCACAGAAGCATTTGAAGTGCACAGAAAGGAATGACGGAAGGCCAGAAGAGAACACTGACCAGTAGGACAGCTTTGAGAGTCACCTGCTCAAGTGAATGCACTGGAGACGTATCAATTACGATTCTCTTTTCTGTTCCGCTCTGTATATGGAAATGCTAATTCTGGTTGGCATTTGTTAAGTTCAGAGTACAAAAATAACTTAATAAAGAGATTATCTGGAGAGCCCATGAAGTTGTCCACCAAATGAGAGAAGAAAGTTAGAGAGCTGTGTGCCTTGAGTGGTGGGGATGGAAGCCAGAGGCAGCGAGGGGGAGCTAAGGAAGGGGAGGCAGCCAGTGTAGATGACCTTCTTCTTTTTCTTTTCTTTAGTTTGATATTTTACTTACCCCCAATCACATGTAAAACAATTTTAAACATTCGTTACTAAAACTCTGAGCTCCAAATTCTCTCCTCTCCTCCCTCCCCACCCCCCTCATTGAGTCAGTATAGGCTAAACACGTGTATAACTTTTTTCTAGGAGTTTGGTGTAAGAGCGGGGAGAACTACAGATTGCTAACGCGGGGGGGGGGGTGCTGTTACTGAGCAAAACTCAGTAAAGTCTTTTTAAAAAAAGAATAAAAGTCAGGCAGGTTTAAAGGCAGCAGGGACAAAGCTGGTGGATAAGAAGGATGAGAATTAGGGGGAGGGAGACCACTGAAGGGTACAAGTAAAGAGTGAGCACCCGATGCTCTGAGATGGGAGCCAAACCTGAGGGAGCTGGGGTGGTCTGAACGGTGGGCTGGGGAGGAGGAGGGAGCATGCTGGGGGCCCTGGGGACACCGAGTCCGGGCAGAGAAGGCAGTGAACAGAGGCACATTCCACTTTCTCCTCCCCCTCCAACTCCTTGGGACAGGTCTTTCTACACAGGAGGGACTCGGTGGACATGGTCAGGACTCTGGCCTGAACCGCGGATGTTAGCTAGGTTAGGCACCTTTTCTAGGCACACCTTCGGTTTACACAGTATTCCACTCGCTATCCTCAGAAACAACAGAGCCCAGCTCGAGAGCTGTCCCAAAGAACCACGGCCACTTGGCGTCTCTGAAAGAGTCTGTTCCCAGAGAAGAACAATGATTTGAAAAAAAAAAAGATTTGTGGGTGCCTGCCAGGGCAGCATCATACAGACCAATGGACGGACGGACGGACAGATAGATGCTTCGTACAGCTTTGTCTGCAGGCTGCTTCCCCCATTAGACTGGGAACTCCCAGAGGGCAGGGACGCTCTTTTGCCTCTTTTTGTACCCCCAGCGCTTAGCACAGTGCCCGGTGCTTAATCAATGTGTGTCGACTGATTAACGATGGGTGGAGGGGCAGCCAGGGCCCCTGGACCAGCGGCTCGAGCCCCTACCTTGGCTCTCCGTTCTCCACCTGCAGCTCCAAGACTGTCCGGAGGCTCTGGCAGCATTTAGCTTCAAAGAGAACAGTCACGCGGAGCTGCCCCAGAGGAGGAATATAGCCCCAGGGGGGCTGAATGATGAAGGGAGAAACCTAGGGAGGAAGAAGAGAGCTGTGTCGCTTTAACAGGTGATGCTCAGAGTGGGCGTCAGACTCAGACAGAAAGGGGGGCGAGGGACATGCTGACCAGGGAACCGCAAAGGAGCGTTCTTTGTGCTGCACTGTATCTGGGTTTATTTTGGTGAATGTTTCCCAGTTACATTCGCATCTTGTTCAGGAGGCGTGCTGCCACTGGCCTCGGGCAGCCACCTCTGCTCTGGAGGATCTGGGGAGGAGGAGGACACAAAGCACAGGGGCCCAGCTGAAGAAGAGGGAAGCCTGAGCTCATGGACAGGCTCCTCAGGGAGGAGGCAGAGGCATCCCAGAGGAGGGGGCCTGGATGGTGAAGGGCCTCAGGATCACAGGAGGCACAGATCGGGGGAAGGTGAAGGAGGGTCCAGGATCAGGTCACTCCCTTCTTGGCCCTCCCTGGAGAGTGACAGTCCAGGCTGGGTAGGTGCCTGGAGTCCGTGGCATACAAGGATCAGTCTAGGGGCCTGGAGAAGTCCCTTCCTACTCTGGCATTCCCAGCTTCAGTGACAAGTTAACTTTGAGGCTCGGAGCCCCGGGACTGAGAAAATGTAGGGAGCATCGGCAGAAACAAGAATGAGAGCAAAGGCCTGGTCTGAGGTGGGGGCAGCAGAGGTGGAATCTGAGGTTCCAAGGGGACCTGAGTCCGTTCTCAGCAAGTACCAAGACAAGAAGGGCCCGGGGAGCTCAGTCTGGGGTAGAGCCACAAGGGAAGAGGATCCCGTGGAGCTGAGGACCACTGACCTCGTCCCCAAGCCCCGAGGCCAGCCGCGGCTTCCAGAACCGCACAGAGGCTGACTGGGATGCAGCTGCAGGGAGCTTACTTTTTCCTTCCTGTCCTCCAGGCACGCAGGGCTCTCCTGCATCTTCCACTTTGCTGGGAGCTGGCTCGTGTTCTGAATGCTTACAAAGCCCATTGCTTTCTTCCCCAGTCGAACCAGACCGAACTGCAGGGCTGAGACATCTATGTTGAGTGCTGGTCCCTAAGGCACCAAAAAAGACCCTTCGCATGTCAGTGCCCACATTCTCTTTTGGCAGATTCTCAGTAGTATTTGCTGCCTGCTGGGGGTAGGCCCTTCCCCATACCTTCCTTTCACCCTGCCCCTGACCCCTGGGCCGCCAGACCCCACCGAGGGCCAGTGCCACAGGGAAAAGCTGGGAATGACCCACGCCAGTCCTCCCAGCAAGACGGAGGACTGCCCCCTTTCCCGTCACTGCACCGGGCGAGCCGGGCATTGGTGAACTCTGAGGCCTCTGGACTTCTCTCTGACCCGCCGCTGCACCCTTAGGCTTCTGCAGCCTACCCAGCTCCACTTTACTCCAAACACTGCCTCCCCTACATAGGATGGGAACTCCTTGGGAGCAGGGCTTGGCACACGGTAAGTAATCAATAAGTGCTTTTTCATTCCTCCATCCATCCGTCTCTGTCCCTCCATTTGCAGGAGCAGCTCTAAAAGGCCCAAGGTCTTCCATGGAAGCAGACCACAGGCTTCCTTCCCTGGCAGGGGCTCGCACACATCCTTACCTTGAAGGTGGCCTCAATGTGCAGCACCACGGGTACGGGGGAGCGCTCAATTTTACACAGCAGCTCCTGGCTCGTCACTCCAGGAACACCGCCAGTGAAATTCAATTCAAACTCACTCTTTTCATTAGGTTCTAGCAAAGGAAAAGACCACAAGGTCACGAGGGACACAAATTCTGGCAGGCTCTAGTTCAGGGACCAGAGGCGAGCCCCAGCAGTCACGTGTGCTAATTGAGGTGACTATGAGCGTGTTTCCGCCAGCCCCACCTTGAGGATTGCTCCAGGCTTTGCCACTGGCCCTTTTGCTGCCCACCATATTGGGGCCACCGGTCCTGAGTGCCCACCTCAACCTCCAAGATCCTCTAAGGCGGTCCCACCTTCGGCTGGTGCCTCTGATGCCATTCCTTGCCATATTCCTGTAGCATCGAGTTTCTGCCACTGGTCACACAGTGAGGCCCCCCTCATCCTTCCCCATGCCTCCACGGGACTCTGCCACCCCGTCGTGCTTTCTGTCTGTCTCTATCTCTCCCCACTTCTGTCTTTCTCCCCCCTCCCCTTTCCACTCTCTCTCTCTCTCCCTCTGCATTTTCAGAGCCAAGCTCCTTCCTCTTCCTCATCCCCCACTCTGCTTCCTTACCACCAGGCTTCTGTGCTCCCCCCTCTCCTGAATGTCCCCTCACCCCCAACTGTCCCGACCCCCGCTGGGATATTCATGCCCCGCCCCCCAAGGCTCTTCTCTGCTCAGCCTTCTTTCAGTCTCCACTCCTGCTCCATCACACCATACTGCCTATTCCAATGGATACAACAACCCTGAGGTGGACGATGCCCCAACTGACAGGCAGGGCCCCCTTTCGTCCTCAAGTTATCAGATCCCCCCATCTTTTTCTAGGTTGTCTTCTTCCCCCTTGAGGCCAGGGACTGTCTTTTGCCTAGAACACAGTATGTGGTTAAGCTAAACTGGCCTAGTGTGGTTCGCCACTCAACATTCATATTTTCTCTCTCTCTCTCTCTCTCTCTCTCTCTCTCTCTCTCTCTCTCTCTCTCTCTCTCTCTCTCTCTCCTCTCCCTCTCCCTCTCCCTCTCCCTCTCCCTCTCCCTCTCCCTCTCCCTCTCCCTCTCCGTCTCCCTCTCCCTCTCACTCCTCTGTACCCTAGAGCAAGAAGGCTTTCTTTCCACACCCGTCTCTGGCTCCCGCCCAGGCCCTCCCCATCATTCAGTACTCATCTCTATCTGCAGGACAGCCTAAGATGCTCGAAGTCAGGGGCCGACCCACTTTTGCGGCCGTATCCCCAGCGTCCAGCATGGCGCCTGCCTGGTACGTCCCGTGGGGTTGGTAAACGCTTGTTGACTGAATAATGGCCTTTCTCTTCAAGCTTCCAAGTACCCAGTGCACCCCCCGGAGGGCAGGGGGGCTTTGCTGTGTGGCTCCCTCTCCGGGCCCATCCCTCGGGGCCTCTCGCATACACGGGGGCGCAGTGATTCGCCTGCTGCCTCATCGCCACTGTGTTGTGGGCCCAGCTCGCTGCTGCAAAGCTACATTACCTATGACCCCCGTGCACGGCTCCACTTCAACGATGTGGCAGTCACTTATCTTCCCCCATGTGTACCAGATAGCAGATCTGCTGTTGTTCCACATCTACAGGACAAAGAAACCTGAAGCTTGGCTTAGGAAAGTACGTTCTGGTCTTAGCCCGGGGTCCCAGCCCCCGGGGAGCCCTGTGCTTCCCGAACCCAAGTCCTCAGTGTCTCCTTGTGGACATCCTCCAGAGAGCCAGCGCTCACGAGACAGCCGAGGCTGAGGCTGGGAGGTTACCGAAAGCTGGGGCGTGGTCCCCTGGGGCCGCGTCGGGCACACTTGGAGCCGAGACCCGGCGGGGCTTCGGGGTAAAGGTTGGCCCTCAGGAGGAGCCGGTGGAAGCCACCCCAGAGCGCCGGGACAAGAGACAAGGTCCCACCTTGAAGTCTTTCTTCACGTTGACTCCGATGTAGTTTTCTCCAGGAATGATAATGGCGTACGGTTCCAGGAGAATCTGGAAGGGCTCCACGGAGCCTTTCACCTCGATTTCCAGGGCAATGATGTCATCCATGGCACACGGTAATTCACGCATATTCTCGTTTTCTGGACTGTGCGAAAACAGGCACAGCCCATGAACCACCTGGACCCCAGAAGCCCTTTGCACAGACACTGATGGTCTGGACGCCACTTGTCGCTTAACATTTCCCTTGAGTTTTCCTTTAGTGTTAAAAGTTCCTCTCTTGGTCCCACTGCTCAGTGTGTAGCGCACACAACGAAGCTCCCACAGACTCTAAGACGGCCAGAGAGCTGGGAACAAAGGCAGCTCCCATGGCCCGGGAACCAGACCCTCCAATCATGGCAGACAAAGAAAACGGATCGGCCCTACGCCATAAGAGACAACGCCCACGAAGACTTCCGAAAAGTTCGCGAAGACTCATGGGAACTGAGCCGCAGGAAGCCAGCTGAACCAGGAAAACAAGGGACCCAATGTTACCGCTGACCACCAGAGCAGCGGAAAGGAAGCTGCTAGGAACCACGCCTCTCCCCGCAGAAGAGGTGGGAGGTGAAGTGCCCCTTGTTCCCCCTGTGCGTGGGGGCTCCGCTGCTGGAGGGCCGGGGGGAGCGGGAGGGCGTCATTCAGGAAGGAGCCAGGCAGGATGAGAACTCGCTGCGGAGGTGTCAAGTGGTGCCAGTAGACCCTGTGAGCCAGAGATGCCACGACTAGGTCTATGTGCCAAAGAAATCAAAGAACGAGGAAAAGGACTATATGGACAAAAACAGAGTAATTCTTTTGTGGTGGAAAGGAATCAGAAACTGAGCCAGTGACCATCCGTCGGGGAGTGGCTGAATGAGTTATGGTCCATAAATGGAATGTGCTCTAAGAAAGGAGCAAGGAGGGGGAAGGCAGCAAGCATTTATGA